TATTATCATTATTATCATTATTATCATTATTATCATTATTATCATTATTATCATTATTATCATTATTATCATTATTATTATTATTATTATCATTATCATTATTATCATTATTATCATTATTATCATTATTATCATTATTATCATTATTATCATTATTATCATTATTATTATTATTATCATTATTATCATTATTATTATTATTATTAATTATTATTATTATTAATTATTATTATTATTAATTATTATTATTATTATCATTATTATCATTATTATCATTATTATTATTATTATATTATTATTATTATTATTATATTATTATTATTATTATCATTATTATTATTATTAATTATTATTATTATTATCATTATTATTATTATTATTATTATTATTATTATTATTATTATTATTATTATTATTATTATTATCATTATTATTATTATTATCATTATCATTATTATCATTATTGATATTATTATAAATCATTATTATTATTATTATCATTATCATTATTATCATTATTATTATTATTATATTATTATTATTATCATTATTATTATTATTATTATCATTATTATCATTATTATTATTATTAATTATTATTATTATTAATTATTATTATTATTATTATATTATTATTATTATTATCATTATAATTATAATAATACTAATAATAATAATAATAATAATAATAATAATAATAATAATAATAGAAAGATAGAAAGAGAGAAAGAGAAAGAGAAAGAAAGAGAAAGAGACAGAGAAAGAAGTGAAAGAGAGCAAAAGAAAGAGACAGAGACGAACAAAAACCTACTCTCCCTAAAGTTTCCACTCCAAGTCCCCCTCGAAGTCCCCCTCGAAAACCTTACCTCGAACGTGTCCTCCGAGCGCAGTTCCCCGAGCATGGTGTCGACGGCTTCCTTCATGTGTTCGAACTGCTGCCCCTTCATCGAGAGGGACACATCGAGGACGAACACCGAGTGCGTCGGCATCCTCACCATCTCCTCGGGGCAGAAGCTATGGACGAAGTGGTCGTTTTCTCGCTTTTATTTGGGGGGAAAGAAAAAAAAATGGATGAGAGAGGAAAGAGGAATAACGAATGAAGGGAAAGAGGAACAACGGATGAGAGGAGAGAGGAATAACGGATGAGAGGAAAGAGGGAGAACAGATGAGAAGAAAAAGAAAAGGATAAGACAGATAGGAGAAAAAAAGGAAAAACGGATGGGATTAAAAAAAGGGAGAAAATAGGAGATAGCGATGAATAAGAAAAAATAACGAAAAACGGATGGGAGGAAAACGGATGGATGACAAAAAAGAAAGAAAAAACAAATATTTGCACGAAAGAAAAGGATAAAAGAAGAAGAAAACAAAAGGAAATGGATGGGAGAAAAAGGGAAACGAAAAGGAGAAAGAAACGAATGGGAGTAAAAGGGAGAGAGTGATGGATGAGAGGAAAACGTGAATAAAACAGATAGGAGAAAAGAAGAAGAAGAAGAAGAAGGGAAAAAAATGAATACCAGGTGAGAGAAAAGAAAAAAAAAGTGAAGGAGGAAAAAAGGAATAAGAGATGGGAGAAAAGAGGAAAAGAGGGAAGAGAATGGTTAACGAATGGGAGCAAAAAGAGTAAAAAAAAAAAGGGAAGAGAAATAAACAAGAAAACAGATAGAAAGGTAAATGAAAAACGGATGACATATAAGAAAAACGGATTAGAGAAAGAAAGGGATAACGAATGAAAGAAAACAGAGTAAAAACGGATAGATAAATAAGAAAAAGGATATACGTTGCAACTGAATTTATGTTGCATGTATGCTGCATGTATTATGTTGGTTGTAGATTAGATTTTTAACAGAATACGAAGAGAGAATAGAGGAAATAGGAGAGAAGAGGGATTTATTATTCCACGAAGAAGGAGAGGTTTGGGAATCATTGGTATTATATATCAATATCTATCTATCAAGAACAAGAACAATGTGTTTTTTTTTTTCCTTTCTATTTTCTTTATGATTCTAATTTTAATCTGGAACATATTACTCTAAAGAAATCCACGTAATATTCAATTTTAAACGAACCTACACCCTATAAACACTATAAACAAAAGAAAACAAAACAAAAAAACAAAAAACAACCTACAAAACATTCTTAACAAACTAGTGAAAAAAGAAAAAGAAAAAAACTGAAAAGCTATAACTTACCTGGATTTCTCCGCCATCTTGCCGCGTCCGAATCGCATACGCAAAGACGAAAACACCGTCAACGCCTTGTCCGGATCCGTCGGGCGGGTCTATATGGACATACTTAACCCACACTTCACCGGCGCGTCGTCGCTCTTCGAACACTTCATAAGAAAACAACGGCTCATTAATCATTCCACAGAGAAAGAGTGAGAGAGACTAAGAAAGAGAGGGAGAAGGAGAGGGAGGGAGGGAGGGAGGGAGGGAGGGAAAGAGTGAGAGAGACAGAGAGAAAGAGAGGGAGAGAGAGAGAGATAGATAGATAGATAGATAGATAGAGATAGAGAGAGAGAGAGAGAGAGAGAGAGAGAGAGAGAGAGAGAGAGAGAGAGAGAGAGGGAAAGAGAGAGAGAGAGAGAGAGAGAGAGAGAGGGAAAGAGAGAGAGAGAGAGAGAGAGAGAGAGAGAGAGAAAGAGAGAGAGAGAGAGAGAGAGAGAGAGAGAGAGAGAGAGAGAGAGAGAGAGAGAGAGAGAGAGAGAGAGAGAGAGGGAAAGAGAGAGGGAGAGAGAGAGAGAGAGAGAGAGAGAGAGAGAGAGAGAGAGAGAGAGAGAGAGAGAGAGAGAGAGAGAGAGAGAGAGAGGGGGGGGGGGAAGAGAGAGAGAGAGAGAAGAGAGAGAGAGAGAGAGAGAGAGAGAGAGAGAGAGAGAGAGAGAGAGAGAGAGAGAGAGAGAGAGAGGGGGGGGGGAGAGAGAGAGAGAGAGAGAGAGAGAGAGAGAGAGAGAGAGAGAGAGAGAGAGAGAGAGAGAGAGAGAGAGAGAGAGAGAGAGAGAGAGAGAGGGGGAGAGAGAGAGAGAGAGAGAGAGAGAGAGAGAGAGAGAGAGAGAGAGAGAGAGAGAGAGAGAGAGAGAGAGAGAGAGAGAGAGAGAGAGAGAGAAAGAGAGAGGGAAAGAAAGAGAGAAAGAGAGAGAGACAGAGAGAGAGAGAGAGGGAAAGAGAGAGAGAAAGAGAGAGAGAGAGAGCAGAGAGATAGTAAGACAGAGATAGGTCAACAGACAGATATATAGATAGATAGAGAGGGAGAAGTGAGAATAACAACAGAAATGTCGGTTTCATTAACTGAACAGACTATAATCAAATCATAAAATAAAAATCATATTCACATTATACTTCTAAACTCATATTACATCTTTACATGGCGAACTGCATCTAAATAATAATAATGATAATAAACAAATCTCGAACTGATTATAGACTGAAATATAAGTATTCAAGTTCTTAAAAGCAACAACACTTAATAATTGTTTTTGCAATGTTGAATGCAAAAATGCCATGTTAAGAAACATGCAACAAATCTTGAAAATGCATCTGACGTGTGTGTGTGTGTGTGTGTGTGTGTGTGTGTGTGTGTGTGTGTGTGTGTGTGTGTGTGTGTGTGTGTGTGTGTGTGTGTATACATATATATATTTTTTCTTTCTTTCTTTTTTTTCTTTCTTTTTTTTTGTTTTTTTCTTTCATTTTCTTTTTTTCTTTTCTTTTCTTTTCTTTTCTTTCCTTTTCTTTTCTTGTCTTTTCTTTTCACTTCTTTTTTTCTTTTCTTTTCTTTTCTTTTCTTTTCTTTTCTTTTCTTTCCTTTTCTTTTCTTTCCTTTTCTTTTCTTTTCTCTTTTTTTTTCTTTTCTTTTCTTTGTTTCAACTGCAACTATTTGTTGATAATTCTGAGTCTAAATATATATCAGAAGAAAGACTAGTGAGAAGGAGAAGAAGAAGACTAAGAAAAAAAAACATGATGGAAGGAAAAGACGAAGAGGACGTTGCATAAGAAAATAGGAGAATAATGATAATGAAGAAGAAAAGGAGAAGCATGATGATGAGGAGGAGAAGGAAGAGAAGAATGATAAAGAGGAAGAGAAGGAGAAGAAGAAATATTGATGAAGAGGAGGAGAAGGAAGAGAAGAATGATAAAGAGGAATAGAAGAAGAAGAAGAAGCATGGTGAGGAGGAGAAGGAAGAGAAGAATGATAAAGAGGAAGAGAGGGAGAAGAAGAAATATTGATGAAGAGGAGGAGAAGGAAGCGAAGAATGATAAAGAGGAAGAGAAGAAGAAAAAACATGGTGAGGAGGAGGAGAAGGAAGAGAAGAATGATAAAGAGGAAGAGAAGGAGAAGAAACATTGATGATGAGGAGATGGAAGAAAAGAATGATAAAGAGGAAGAGAAGAAGAAGAAGAAACATTGATGAGGAGGAGGAGAAGGGAGAAAAGAATGATAAAGAGGAAGAGGAAAAGAAGCATGGTGAGGAGGAGGAGAAGGAAGAGAATAATAATAATAATAATGATTGTTGTGATGGTGATGGTGGTAGTAATGCAGACGAAAATAAAAAAGTGAAGATGACGATGAAGAAGAAGGAAAGGATGACGAAGATGACGATGAGGAAGAATGTAATGACGAAGAAGAAGAAAAAAGTTGACAAAGATGACGAGGAAGAACAAGAAGAAGAAAAAGACGAAGAAGAAGCAGATGACAACGAAGAAGAAAAAGAAAAAGAAGAAGAAGATGACAACGAAGAAGAAGAAGAAGAAAAAAAAGAAAAAGAAGAGGAAGAAAATGACAAAGAAAAAGACGAAAAATCAAGACAACAATAAAGATAACGAACAACAAACAACAACAAGAAAAGAAAACAAAGAAACACAAACATCCAAACGCCGCGCCCTCCTCACCTGTAGCTCCGGGGTACCCCATGGACACCTCCTGTCCCGGAAGCTCCAAGATCCTGTAGCTCCCGATGGCCTCCCGCTCGTGGATGTGAACCACCACCTCGGCCTCGGGAATCCGCT